ATGACAATATGGATAAAAAGTGGTATATATATGGTTTAATAATTTGCATGTAATTAATTACCTGATAAAGGGCATCACTTTGCAAAAGACTCTTGTGTCCAACTTCTTGATGTCTTCCATTTTCTCCATCGGTTGCCATTGCTGCTTGTTCTTTCGTTGTTGTTGAAGTGGATATATTAACTATCTTTGAAAGTAGATAAGTCTAAGTTAGCAACCTACTTTTGGAGAAGTGAAAATGGCTTAATTTNGTTCTTGCTCATAAGTCATATATGGGACAATACAGACAAACGACCAACTCCAATTTTGACTTCGAACGCATTACCTAACAAATACCCACCTCCGGCTCGTACTTTCCTAGTTTCAAATTTCAGTATATAACTTATGGCCTACTTTCCTTGACGGATTCAGAAAGAAAAGTAGTACTTATTCTTTATTTGAAGAGACCCACGTTAAGTGGACAACGCATTGCAGATATTTTCTTTTAAAAGCGTTATTTTACTTTTTTCCAAGTTTGTTAGACTTAAAACTGGTACTTTTATGTTAACAAATAATGGGCGAGAGGCATGTAATTATTTTACTTTTTCTTAAGTTTGTTGGCGTTTGTTTGAGTACTAAAGAATATTTTGTAAAAAACATTTATTAAAGGTTGCTAATAATTATTTATATATATATATATATTGCAACTGAGAAATTCAAACTTATATGTCGTATTTCTCTAAATTCCTCAGAACTTAAGTATTATTTGTAGAGAACGAATTTCTACGAGTAATCTTATTCTTACACCGGTCAACTTTGCTCTTATATATAGTGATACAAAACAAATAATTTGAGATAATGAGTGTTAAATGAAATGGTTCTTAGAAATCATGAATGCGCAAATAACAAAATGTTACACCTCTATTTTATTTATATAGCGGTGTTTAATTAGGCATGAAATTTTATAAACAAAGATGTTTTTTGGAATATATTTATAATTTGTGGTCTTAAATATACCATGTCATTAAAAAATTTGAAATTGAAGAGTTTTAAATATAAAAATACGTTCGTACTTTTTAAAATTGACTGAAAAGAAGAAAGTGTCATATCAAATTAATTTAATAGATTAATGGTTTGATGTTGGTAGTTTTCTGCCACTATCTAACGATGTCAAACCCAAGTAGTTGGAAAAGATCTGTTGAAAACAACTACTGTATCACATTGCCAAAATTAATTTGCTTAATGGTGTATTTTTTTTCTCCAACAACGCGAGTCTGTCAGATGTAATTGGGATGAAACAACATAAACTCGTCCAATTTAGGCATATAGATTTTTGTTGTAGAGATTTCCGTATTAGAACACCAGAATTTCATTTGCATGACTCAACTCTAAACTTGAATTCTAATGTTCGGAAGGTGGCATGGTGCAGGTGCTTCACAATCTACAAAATTCCGACCTACGGTTTCAGCCAAGGCTGGCCGGAGAAGATCGCTACCGATCTTTGGGTGACTGAGTGGGTAACTCTGAAGCCCACTATCTCAAGTAGCTAGGTGTCACATGGGCGTTTTCTGTCCGCCGAAAACACTACCCGCTGTGCGGCAGTCAAGTCCCCACTTGACCTCAGCCTTGCCCGATTTTCTTTCGCTTTAGAGGTTTGACACTTAGAATAAATTTAAGACAACAAAAATAAACGAAGGCAACACAGATTTACGGGAATCCTTTCCCAACCTTTTTATAATAAAACAATTACAAAGGAAATTTTCGAGTTTAGCAAGGTGCTGTCACCCTTGGCAGACACCAACTCACAAAAATAACTGACACTTGCACGAATCTGCCCTATAAAAGCCCCTGCCTAAGGCATCTCGTGCTGCCCACTCGTTTGGCAAGGCAATGGCACATATTTTGCCATGCTCAAGCCTTGATATAGCCAACCCTTTACCTATATCTTTGCTAATTTCCCTCCCTAGGTGCTTAGCCCGTTTTTATGGCTGCTAGCACACATATATATAGTATAGTCAGCCCAAAACTCTCTCCTATATTCAGTTGACATCCCCAACTAATAGGACATGATCCCCATGATCAAAAACGTGTGGAACATGATAGAACATGCTCCAAAAACGTGCAAACACTCAGCCATATAATCAACAACTCCTGGACATGGGTAGTTGTAACCGCCCTACTGCATCATGTGCACAACATGTGCGCATTTTCTTGGCCAGCTGCTGCCCAATTTCGTGTCTAGTCTTGGACCGGCCCAATGCCATTATATCCAGCTGCATTGTGCTAAGTTCCAACGCCATTGTATCCAGCTGCGTTGTGCTATAAATTTCCTTACCATCGCCACGAACTTGTTCTTGTCAAGTCGCCCCTACTTGATCAAGTCTGCCCGTTGCCAATGCTGATTTTAGCATCAAGTCACCAAGCCTTGATGCCCTTCCCTTTGCCAAGTCATTTGCCCACAATTTACTTAGGTGCCAGCCCGCTCACCTAAGTCATGGCAACATCACATTACCAATGCCACTGCCTTGGCACTAAGCTGCCTCACTTTAGCGCCGAGGTCTTTCCCATTTTGCCTTGTCAAGCTCCCATCCAGCCCGCCTAGTTCCGTCAAGGTCTTGGCCTTTGCTTGTACGCAACCCACTCTTGCTTTGGTGTAGTCCGTTACACCTTAGCCTCAAATAGAAGTGTAGTCCGTCACACTTGCCTTAGCAACAGTTTGTTGCCATTGACAATACCCGCATTGTCTTGCATATTGATTTTCCCCCGCACAAAGGCCAATGGCAAGGATATCATGCCAAAATCCTCGCCACTGCCGCGCCGCTTGCCGATCAGCTTTGTCAAGGGTCTAACACTAGGCTACTCCTCCCCACCCTGGCCAAAATTTTAGAATCCAATATTTTTAAAAAACAGTATACTTTGAGGATTGGTCTTTAAATTTAATATAAATATAAGGCCAAGCATCATAATTTTTCATAAGTATGCCGCTTGGCGGGGTATAACTTGCTTAAAATTATGCCCAGCCAATTTACTCTTGCAATACTTACTTAAACATGGATTAGCAGCGTGATATGATCCTATTCGTGCAAATCTCCCTTGAGAATTTGGTTGATTTTAGTGCAGTGGCCCAAAAATAGAACAATAGTCCCCTTTAGAAATTATTTTGATCCAATGTTTTTAGGTTTGGAAGCTGCTGCTTTTTCTGGGTTTGGAAGTATGATGATAGGCTATAATTACGTATTTTAGTCGATTATTACACTCTAATTTACTACACTTTAGTTGAGTTTGCGCTTTAATCACTAGTGTTTTGCATTAATTGTGTGTTTTATGCCTTGTAGGAGTGATTCCGAGCTATGTAGATGATATAGAATGAATTCAAGTGATTTGGAGTTTTGAAGTCTGAGTAAAAGCCCAAGGAATTAAGCCGAGATCGTATTTGGGGATCAACGGATGATAGAGCAACGAAACGAAGAATTTAGTAGGCATATTGTGCAATGTCTAGTAAAATGCACATAACTTTTCGCTCAGAACTCCATTTGGGCTCCACAATATATAGTTAGAAAGATAACTCAAAGAGCTACAACTTTCATGTCTTATGTTTTTCCAAATTTTAAACAGAACAGGGTGAAAATTGCATGACAAGTGCTCTGCGGTCAGATCCGCGGCCGCGGACAGAACATGGCCAAAATCAACGGTCAGGTCCGCGGACGTCCTGTCCGGGAAAAATGTTCTTTTTCGCATAAGAGAAGGTGTAATTGTTTGGGCACAACCCTACTTGGTATATATACATGGAAAAACGGCATTTGGAGAACCTTTGACATACTTTTGACATAATTTAGACCTAAGGAGGCCAAGAAGACCGGAGATTCGACCTAAGGAGGCAAGAACACACTACGAGTAATGCGGAGAATTCTTCTACGAGTTTTTCACTTCCTTCTTCCTATTTTTATTATTGGTTATGACTTTTAGTATTGTAGTTTTACATACTATTATGAATAGCTAATTTGTTATCTAGAGTTTTGATAGAACATTTTGTAGGATGAATTCTTGTTAGGTTTTAATATAATTTAGCCTTTGAATTTATCTATTTGTTCAGCTACGTGTTTATTCAGTTGATTGAATGGCCATCGATTGACTGTGCCTATTTATTATGTGTTGCTTGAGAAAGGATACATATTTAGGTGGTTGTTGAACAACGTCACTCCTAACGTATGTGAGAAATCAATACAGCGGGTTTAAAGGCAGGTTTAGAAATAACAAAGCCTTGACGTGGTCATAATGAGCGGTTAGATTAAGCCAACTAGCGTAGTTCGAGAGAATATGTCTAGTAAATTGTTGTAGTTGCTCGAGAGAGAATTACGACACCTAAAGTGCTCACGATCAGTAGAGAATACATTGGCAAAATTGTAGGGAACATAGCTAGAAGGATTCCGACAATTGGGGAAATCATAACTCTAGATCTCCTTAATTTAGCCTCCAACCCTTTGTCTCTTAGTTGATAATTTTACCGCTTTCTAGTATTTGCTAGTTAATTAGTTAGAAATATAAATCTCAATCTTTATAATTTAGAAAATTGTTCAAACTTGTCTTTTTAGTGATATTAAACACATATAGCTAAGTCTTAGTTCTCTGTGAAATTCGGCTCCGGACTTTTAGACCGAATTATATTTGCAGCAACCGTTTATCTTTTTAAGACTAGAGTTGGGTGAGCGGGCGTGATCAAAGTACCAATCACCAAATATTGCCCTAACATCAGCACCAATGCATCAAATGAGTACGAGGCATATTGTTTAGCTTGGTGTTTGGTAGCCATCGAGAGATGCATGTAGCTAGTCAATACTAGTAGTATTAGTTTTTGGGGATGAACGACTTTTACTTAGTTCAAACTTTCAAACCTTTTCTTTTGGTTCGAAAGTCGAAACTGCATTTCGCACGTGTTTGATCATGGGTATGACGTAACAGAATTCCCACTAGCTCCACTGACCTGTGACATTTTGGACATTGGATCTTTGAACTTGAGTTTTTTCTTTTTTTATGTTAAAATACGATATGACATAAACAGTAGGTAACATAGACAATGCAACCTTCACTAGAAAAGAGAATTAAAAAAAAGGTTGAATAACGAATGATTCAGAACAGGGGAATTCCAGAAATAATAAATCCTCCATTGACATGAGCTAGCCCTGTGGCGTGCCTTCCATTCTTGGTTGCCACAAATAGACGATAGTTGTGTTTATTTAACTAATGCGGCGGCAAAGGGTGATGCCGTCACCAACAGGTAGCTGGCAAATTTCGATTCTTGAATCAGCAGCCAAAGCCTTGTTGAGTTCCAATACGAAATCTCTATAATACCTAACGTATTTCCTAAGAGGTGCATCAGGTGGTGCAACCACTGATCCATTCCATAGGGTGTTATCATACCCAATTAGTCCACCAATTTTGACCAAGTCGATTAATCTCTTGTGATAATTCAAGTAGTTGTCTTTGTCAGCGTCTACAAATATGAAATCATATGATCCATGGTATTTTCCCTGTTACAAAAATTGATAAACAAACATTAAGTTTAACTATATATCATAGACAAGCTTTCAAGTTATTTACTATTGAGTATTTAGGTACTTACATCTTCAATCATTTGATCAAGAACGGGAAGTGCAGGGCCTTCTTTGAATTCAATTTTGTGAGCTAGTCCAGCCTTTTCAATCACTGGAAGACCAATCTCGTAGTTTTCCCGGTTAATATCCATAGCTAGAATCTGAAGATATTTTACCAAATTAGTACTACAAATTTATGAGTTCATTTATCATCTGCAAGAGTAGGAGCAATTAATTACCTTGCCATCATCGGGAAGAGCCATGGCAGTAGCAAGCAGAGAGTAACCAGTAAAAACACCAATCTCCATTGTGTTCTTGGCATTAATGAGTTTGATAAGCATGCTCAAGAATTGCCCTTCATCGGCAGAGGTGGTCATGAGGTTCCTGTTTTATTCAAATGAATGATTTTTATATTTCCAGCTAGAAAATTACCACAATTGAGTATTCAATTTGCATGAACGAACTAAAGTTAAAAGTAAAGTAGGAGAAAGTTACCAGGGGTGTTTTGCGGTGATCTCTCTTAGCTCTTTCATGGGCTCAGGCTCTCTTGGGTACACGCTTGTTTCAAGAATGTACTGTTGAAAGAAAAAACAAAAAATTGATTAAAACCTAATACGTTAATAAAAGGGGAATATAATCAATTTATTGTATGACAATATATGGATAGAAAAAAGTGGTAATACCTGATAAAGGGCATCACTTTGCAAAAGACTCTTGTGTCCAACTTCTTGATGTCTTCCATTGGTTGCCATTACTAGTTCTTTGGTTTTACGTGGATATTTTATCTTGTTTTGAAGTGGATATAGGTCTTAAGTAAGCAACCTGCTTTTGGAGAAATGAAAATGGCTTATTTATATATATAGGAAAAACGAGAGAGGCATAAAAAAGAGTGGAGGGTTTGGTTGGCTGAAAATGATAGGAAGTTGGTGAAATGTCCTTTCTCTTATAAAAAAATTTGTGGGACAATACAGCCAAATGAGCAACTCCTTTTTTGACTTAATGATTAAATGCATTACCTAATAATATCCACCACCAGCTCTAGGCCTTCATTTGACGAATTCAGAATCAAGAGAATTCTTAATTTGTTTGAAGAGGATTAGTCTTAACTGAGTAAACAGGAGTAATAACTAGCAAAAGTTATTTTATTTCATAACTTTTTAAACATTTAACTACATATCGATCACTTCTTCAGCCAATACTTACATTATGTTCAACCTTTAATAGTATTCAAATTTTTTGTATAACATTCCAATTTAATATCATTTTAATACGTAGATTCGTCTCCAAAAATGTGTTTCACCCAACAACTAAATACCGAAAAAGTTTTCTTCAGAAAAACAGTTTCAAAAAATGACTTACCAAAGATTCTGCAGAGTTGGTGGGTAGACCAACGTTGCCACTCTTGACTCCCGTTCTCATGGTATAGCAACCGAGGAAACTTCATAAGTGGATAAAGTCACTATCTCTCTCCTTTCATTTTTTTTTTTTTTTTTCCTGGTCATCCCATTAAAGAAAAAAAAAAGTGGGTTGGTGGTGTGGGTGGATTCTGAGAAACTACTTTTTATGACTCGAAAAAAGATTGGGAGACAACATGCAGCTTCATGAATCCTTTCTAAATGTTTTACTTCAAGATTCTTTATCTTCAAAAAATCAACTCCAAATGCTTCTGTCCAATGGCTTTCAAATTTCATTTGTGCGCATAACCTATTGCTGTTGCTTTTAATTTAAACCTTTTTTTTTGTTGTTAAAACCTACCTGTACAGTATGTATCACTGGATGTAATGAAAAATAAAAGTAGTTTAATTTGATGGAAAAAAATAAAAAATAAATACATGAGCTAAACTTATACTCCTATAATATACCCAAATTAATGTTAATATCAGTAATATTCAATATGTCATGTTAATTCTAAGAACGGCATGTCATTGAGAGCCAAATAAAAATGTTAAGATGTAATTAAAGTTTTTGAATTAATATGAAAATATATCATTTTTTATAAACTTGACCAAAAGGTCACATATAAAATAGAACTAATGGAGTACTTGACATCATTGAACTATTGAAGGATAATACTAACAAAAACCAGTTAGACCTTGTGAACTAGTAACTGAATCTACGTTACGCGTTATATGTTAGTAATTAATTGGGGAAATTCATGTCTTTTTCCTCACTCTGACTAACCATCTTTTTTCCTTTTCTTTTGAAGGCCTCTTACTAACCATCTTGAGTTTATAGTTTACATGATTTATTTGTCAGTCAACGCGTCTGATGCAATATCGATATACTACCCCTATAGACAGAAAAAATACACCATTGATTATTTCTGAATACATATTTTGGTGCTTACGTCTCTTTCTTGTCCTTAACAATTCTCAATATTCTACATAAAGATATTCTACCAAACTATATCTTTTTTCTATTTATACATTCTTCTAATATGAAAGTTCCAAATAAGAATGTGAAAGTTGAACTACTTAAGCAAATTGACAATGAGAAACTATATATAATGAATATATAGAAACATATATTTTTAGCCGCTTTAAAAAATAATAGCCGATAAAATATATATTTATTGTATATATGTATTCTATATACATATAATATACAAATTTTATTTATTTTTTGGCTAGTAAGTACAATTAGTTTCGATCGACCGGCTAATTTTGTATTTTACCCATGAATTTATATGTTTAGTGTAATTTGATCGGTTCCAAAGAGCTAGAAGGGGCTTATACAACATTATAATACAGGGTAAATTTGAACCTAGTACTTTGTACTTTTAATGCAGAGCATTAATTTATGTGCAAAAATTTACTAAAATTATCTTTAATTTTCACGAATAACTTATCTACTTTCTCTCTTTTCTTTCTATTTCCTTTACCTTTAATTTCTTCTATTTTGTTTTTTACTCCTTACTAGGAGTGTTCACGGTTCGGTTTGGCCGATTTTTGATTAAAACCAAAACCAAACCAATTTAATGGGTTTTTAAAATTTTAAAACCAAAACCAAACTAAATTATATACAAACCATCGGTTTGGTTGTTGTTGGTTTGGTTTGGTTTTTCGGTTCCTAGTAAGCTAATGATTAGTCGATAATTGTGATGACCCAAAAGGTCATCACTTATTTTTAAAACGAATTTCTGCGTTCCGAGGCATTAAAAATCTCTTTTAGTATCACCCCAATTTGCGTGCATAGTCTGGGGGCATAGCCGGAAAGCCATTTTGTGGAAATCTCTGAAAAATGATAAATTTTGACTATAAAATGAATTAAGTTGACTTCGGTCAACATTTTGGTAAACGGACCCGGACCCGTGATTTGACAGTCCAAGAGGGTCCGTAGGAAAATATGGGACTTGGGCGTATGCCTGGAATCAAATTCCGAGGTCCTAAGCCCGAGAAATGAATTTTCGAAAGAAATTGTTTTTTGAAATTAATTATGAAATTTGGAAACGAATTGTGATTAGAACTTGATGGTATCGGGCCCGTATTTTGGTTCTGGCGCCCGGGACAGGTCTTATATGTGAATTAAGATAAGTCTGTAAGATTTGGTAAGAAACGAACTTGAAACGACGTGAATCAGATCATTTTTGAGAAAAATTGGAAATTGAAGTTCATAAGGAAATTTCATGATTTTGATGCTAAATTCATAGTTGTTGATGTTATTTTAGTGATTTGAATGCACGAGCGAGTCCGTATGATGTTTTTGGATTGGTGTACATGTTTAGTTTGGAGCCCCGAGGGCTCGGGTGAGTTTTGGATAGGCCACGGGGTGGATTTTAGATTTGAGGAAATTGCAGATTTTCAGTTGTGCATAGCAGGCCTGCTGGCTCGCAAATGCGATATCGCAAATGCAAGGGCCTTGTCGCAATTGCGAAAGAAGCCCAGGCCAGCTCCATCTCGCAAATGCGAGACTCCCTTTGCAAATGCGATATGCCCCCTTGGGCCTGTTATCGCAAATGCGATCTTTGGTTCGCATTTCCCATCTCGCAATTGCGAGAGCCCCTTCGCATTTCCCAACTTAGCAGAGGTCGGGGTTCGCAATTGCGAACCCCTGTTCGCATTTCCAATACCTGCGACCTGCAACTTTTATACTTAGCCGAAAATCAACCATTTTTCACATCATTTCAAAACACCAACTCCCTAGGGCGATTTTTTCACGAGCAATTCTTCTTCCAAATCGATTGTAAGTTAATTTTAACTCGTTTCCTTCAATCATTACCATCTTTTAACATGATTTCAATTCAAAATCAATGATTTTCATGGGGGAAATTGGGTAGAACCTAGGTTTTTTCAAAATTGGAGATTTGGACCTCAATTTGAGGTCCGATTTCAAAATAAATTATATACTTGGGTTCGTGAGGGAATGGGTAATCGGGTTTTGCTTCGAACCTCGGGTTTCGACCACGTGGGCCCGGGGGCAATTTTTGACTTTTTGGGTAAAACTTTGGAAAACTTATTTTCATGCATTGGAGTCGGTTTATTTAGCGTTTATTGATGTAATTAAGTAACTTGTGGCTAGATACGAGTGAATTAGTGGTGGAATCAAGAGGTAAAGCGATAATTGAGACGTGAATTGTGTTCGTGGCATCGAGGTAAGTGTTTGGTCCAACCTTAGCTTGAGGGATTAGGAGTCGAATCCTATTTGCTATGTGGTATTTGTCGAGTACGACGTATAAGCATAGTGACGAGTATCTATACGTTGGTGTCAAGCATGCTCATAAGTCTTATATTGTGATTATCATGACTTTGTTGTATTATTCATTCCTTGGCGAAGATTTCTATTTGTTGTGCAAAGTTTGTGGAAGGAATTGTGACCTATGAACATTGAGGAGCGTTGACTCAAGTTGTATAACGAATTGTGAAAGTATAAGTGGTAATTGAACCCTTGGAGCATTGGCTCAAGTTGTAAAGTGAGTTGTGAAGTAAAAGTGAAAAAGAGAAAAGAATCACTATATTGACTCCTTTGCCGGGATATTGGATTGTTTGATGTTGTCCCATGCCGGGACTTATTGTTGAATTATTGTTCCCTTGCCGGGATTCTTGTTGCAATTTTATTTATTTCCTTGCCCTATTGTTTGTGATTGTTGTTTGGGTGAGTAAGAGAGTTAAAACACGAAGTGTGATACCGTATATTATTTTTGTGAGGAAAGAGTGTAAAGCATGAAGGGTAATGCCGTGTATGATTTGTGAGGAAAGAGTGTAAAAATGAAGGGTGATGCCGTGCCGCCGTGCCGCATGACGTACCATTCCGTGCCAATTATATTGATTATATGGTGAGGAAAGAGAGTAAAAGCACGAAGGGTGATGCCGTGCCGCCGTGCCGCATGACGTACCATTCCGTGCCAATTATATTGATTATATGGTGAGGAAAGAGAGTAAAAGCACGAAGGGTGATGCCGTGCATATTTTCATTATATGATTGCTTTGGTGAGGACGAGAATAAAAACACGAAGGGTGATGCCGTGCATTTATTGATTTCTGGTTCTTTGTTGATATTCGAGTTTTATTGTTTCTTTCATTTACTTGTTGCCTTTCTATTCGGAATTTATATCTCCCCCGCAGCATGCTACCCCTCCCATATTTGACTATTTATTACTGTTCTTCTTTTCCGGTGTATATAGTTGAATTGCACATGTTTATTTGGTAGTCTGGTCCTAGCGTCGTTACTACTTTGCCGAGGTTAGGCTAGGCACTTACCAGCATATGGGGTCGGTTGTTCTGATACTACACTTTGCACTATATACAAATTCCGGAGCAGCTTTTGGACCATATTTTGGAGGCTACCTTCAGTCCAAGGAGATCCAAGGTAGACCTGCAGGTGTCCG